CTATGAAATAGTCAATTATTAAATTTAACAAGTTGAGCTCGAATATTAACGAATCCAATTATGTAAAAATTAGAAAAACTACTTAAGAATTCATATTTTTCAAGCCTGTTCCTTATTAATTAAACAAGCATTAATTATATAAGATTGAGCTGAACTCGGTTACTAAAAGAGGCGAATCGAGCCGAACTCGAACCTTACAATAGGCTCGTTGTGTTTAAGCACCAATGTAATTGTACAAAAATTGTGAATTTACAGTTTCTTTAGTGAAAATTGTGCAAAAAATTGCGGAAAAAATTTGATGAACCTAAATTGCTAAATAAACAGTTGGTGAACCATATTTACTTTAGAAAAAGAAAAAATAAAAAACAAAACAAAAAAGTTTTGGTAATTGGTACTGATTGAGTTAGCACCACTACAAAAAAATTGTTATATTCCAACGAAAAATCCTATGATAGTATATGCAACGGAAAATCCAACGGATATTCCAATGGTATAGCTTCCGTTGGAATGATTGCAACGGAAATTCCAACGAAAATATTTCGTTGGAATGTATTTTTCATTTGAATTTTATGATTCCAACGGCTATATTCCCAACGGCTTTTCACCGTAGGAATTTCCGTTGGAATATGCAATTTCTGTTGGAATTTTTATTTTCACCACCATTGGAAAATCTACCGTTGGAATCGTCAAAATCCAACAAAAATTCCAATGTCAAACTCATTCCAACAGAATATTTTTGTTGGAATAAATAATAGTATTGAAATATCCATTGGAATTTCCGTTGGAATTCTATTGAAATATATTTCTATTGGAATTTTATCATTTTATTGTAGTACACTTAGCATTCAAAAGGAATATTAAATATGAAATTGGTGGACATTGATATGCCTAAGATGCAGTCGGTCAAATCAACGTGAATTTGCATTCTTAATACTATCAAGTCCAAAACAGAAATTTCATCGAGTTGTACATATTGCAAATCAAGCTATTGCTTATCTATGCAGGAATATTTTGAAAATCTTTAAAGCTCCATGCACGTACGCCAGTTTAATCATTTAACATAAATTTTCAGATGAACCTTGCGTTTTCAGATGTATCAATTGGACTTTATTGCAATGAACCTCACGTTTTCAGATGTATCAAGGCTACGCCACAACCATTAAAAAAAATTTACCATATTTAAATAAAAATGGATATTTCAGTAGTATAACTTTTGTCGAAAAATTTCAACAGAGATCAACACGAAATTATTCCTTTGGAATTAAATTTTTCTTAGAATTAGTTGAAATTTGTTGATTTCAACAACTTTTTTTATGATTTACTGTTGCATCGGAATATACAATTTTCGTTAGATTCTTTTTTTCACCTAATATTTTAAATTGGAAAATTACCGATTGAATCGTCAAAAATTCATGAAAAATTTCAATAAAAATTTCGATTTCAATAGGATATTTCTTTTGGAAATCGTTGGAAAATTTCAATGAACTTGATGTTGAAATTCCATTGAAATATATGTTTTTTGAAATTTCACAATTTTCTTATTACAGTGAACCAACATAATCGAATGCTAGATAATTTTAGATAATTTTTTTTCATATGGTTGTCATTGAGAAGTATGTATATTCTAGATTAGGCAGAACCATTAATCAGTTGTAAGGCCATTTCCAACCGAAAAACTCATACTCAAACCCATTTTGCAGTAACTGTCACATTTTGCAGTAATTTATCTCCAACCGAAAAACTCATTTTCAACCCCAAAAAAATATTCTCACACATCAAGTTTTATAACTTTTCAATACTACCCACATATTTAATAATTCTACACATTCAACCCAATATTATTTTATATTTGATTTGAAAAATATATAATAATTTATTATAGATTGATAATTCGTACATATGTAAAATATTGGAATACATATTTTTTCAGTTATATTTTTCATATTTTTGTTTATTATACACATCTAATTTGTATTTCATGGTCTATAATGTTATTTTTAATTGGTAAGAAAATTTATTATATATATATATATATATATTCTTTATGTTAGTATTTAATTTATGAAAAAATAAAGGATAAATATTAGTACGTTAATATATTTAAAAAGAAAAAGATAAATATGACAATTATGTAAATAAATCATAATGAACAGAATACAATATTACATAGGCAATAAATTTGTTAGAATACTGAACGACTCCCATAAATTTTCTTATCTAAGTTTAGATAATTAATTTTCTTCATTTGAAGAATTATTTATCTTTTTTTTTCTATTATTGTCCAATTATGTAATTAATAACAAACATGGGTGTGAGATTGCAATTTGAAAATTACAAACGCAAATTTTGCGTTGAAACGCATATATGCGTTTATTTGATGAGAGAGAGTGAGCAAAACGCATTTTGAGTTTGCGTTTGGTGTTCGGTTGGATCAATTTATCTCCCTCATTTTGCGTTTTGGGGT